TTTTGGTACCGGGGATTGAACTAGGGTCCTTGCGCTTGCAAGGCAGGCCACCGAACCGCTGAGCTAAATCCCCAGGCCCTGTTTTTTGTTTGTTTTTGTTTTTGGTTTTTTGAGACAGGGTCTCACTATGTAGTTGAGACTAACCTGGAACTCACAGTGATCCTCCTGCCTCAGCCTACTGAGTACTGGGATTACAGGTGTGCACCACCACGCCCGGCTCAAAAGCCTCATTTAAAAAAAGATTATGGTGTAAATAGCAAATGACCTTTTTATTACTGGCAGAAGGCAACTTTGCCATGCTTGACCCTAAGATTACATATGAAAATTTCACTTGTAAAATAGATGAAAAGAGGTGACCCTCCTTTATAGACATATGAGAGCTATAATAGTTAACTTTATCAGGCAATATCATTCCTATTTCTTGGCAACTTTGTCATAAAAGAGAATGTGTTTGTTCCTTTCAAACTCTTCTGATCCCTTAGAGAACCCTTGACAAATTCTCAAATTGTGCTTCAGCCTGAGCATTTGGTAAATAACTTTTTTCTCCCTTTAAACTCCAAGCTCTTGATCTTACCATAGGTGTATTTCACAAAGTAATTCTGGACCTCATTTACCCTACATAAGTCTCTATCTCTCTAAAGTGGAGCTAATAATAGCACTTTACTCTTTGGGGCTGCGTTGGGGAATAAACGAGATAATGTATGTAAAGGTATCAGAACAGTGTCTAGTTATTTTTTGTAAATACTTAACAAATGTTAGCTATTAGGCTATTTTGATGACCATGACAATGATGTTTGAATATTATTACTAGGGAGCTAAGTTTGTCACATTTATTTCACATTCATAACCTAAAATGAGTTTTAAATCCATATTTAAATATAATCACAAATACAATCATAAGCACAGATTAAGAATTTGTATATTGGGGTGTTTTTTTTTTTTTTTTTTTTTTTTTTTTTTTTTTTTTGGTACTGGGGAATGTATGCAGGACCTTGCACTTGTGAGGCAGGTGCAGCACCCCTGAGCTAAATCCCCAGCCCTTCCTTTGGGAGACATTTACAATAGTTTACCTCTTTGGAGCTGTTGATCACGTTCCTTTCCCTGTAGAATCAAATCCAAATGCCTAAACCAGGTGTGGTGGCGCACGCCTATAATCTCAGCACTCGGGAGGCTGAGGCAGGAGGATTGCTGTGAGTTCGAGACCCGCCTGGGCTACATAGTGAGTTCCAGGTCAGTCTCAACTACATAGTGAGACCCTGTCTCAAAAGAAAAAAAAAATCCAAATGTCTGACACTGAGAATTTCTGCAACCTATCCTCAACTTTCCTTTCTTCCCTCTGCTCCCACATGTTGTCCCTGAATCAATGATTTCTCCACTTTTCTACCGTGGTATCTCTTCTTCATCCTTCAAGACCATCAGGTTGCCACCAGCCAGAATCAATAACTAGCACTAGACCTATGTTCAGCGAGTAAAGTTTTGCCATTATTCTCTTCTGATAGCCCCGTGAAATAGGAAGGTCCATAATTTAAAAAAATATCACTTCAACTATCAAATGCTTCTGCCTCAAAAATAATTAAGGCCCCTATGATCGCCAACCTCAAGAAACTCATGGTAAAAGAGGAGAGAGGCCTATAAATGCCTAGGACAGAGGCATGAGAACCTGGGGGTCTGCATGGGGACGTGGGGTCAGGATCGTTTATTTACCTTCACTCCAGCACTCAAGTTGTCCTTCCATAGCCTGTGTCCTTGCACTGACCAGACTGTTCCTCCTTTTGGCTAGTTAGTTGCAAGGCTGGGACATATTATGATGGAGCACAAGAACGCTGCATTTTATGTCCAAATGGAACCTTCCAGAATGAGGAAGGACAAGTCGCTTGTGATCCATGCCCAAGACCAGAAAATCTTGGGACCCTGAAGACCTCAGACACTTGGAATGTGTCTCTATGTGGAGGTAAGGCTTCGCTGTCATTATTTAGGCTAAGGCACAGTGACATCCCAGGGACTCTGGTTGATCTACCCTGGATCTTAGGCTTCCTACCAGTAGGTGCCACGATGGGTTCATCTTTGGTTCTCCAGTGCCAGACATGCTGGGCCGATGCTAACAAGAGCAAGTGAATGAACACAAGATAGGACACATAGGCAGAAAAGTGTAATGTTGCAGTTGTACACTTCATTCACTCTAAACATCTGTACTTGAGACTTTCGTGATTGCCTAGTCTGTAGGGACAGCTGCAAAGTATCCACATGTGGAGAATGTAAGACTGATTTTGTTTTTCAGTTTGGGTCTCGAATGTATAGCTTTTTGATTGAAAACAAATGTATCCATCTGGTTATTTTTGTTAAAATGGGACCTCATCTGTGAAGGGTTTTAATCATCTCATAAAATTTTAACTTTGAAGCTAAGCTCAGTGAGGTTCTGTGGGCTTCTTTCCTATTCATTTTCTTCAGTGTTTTCCTTTTGTTAAATGGGAGAAGGGCTGGCTGTATGGACATTGTGTGGGCTCAAATGGAGGCTGTGATCTGAGTGGCGATTTCTAATTGGTGGACACAGCTACGTGGGTCCCCACGCTGCCCTGTGTCTCTCCTTGTGGTGACTCCTGGCCCCAGCTTTAGTCCCCACCGAATAGACTCCAGTGAAACTGCAGGGCCATTGCTGGCCTAAAAACTCAGACACTCCTGCTGAGTGGGTAACTCTTACCATATCTTTGGACTGCTGTGAAATTCTAGAACCACGAGGTTGACAAAGAGGAGACTCTTTCTATGTGACCTCAACATATAGCAACAGAATTTAGTAATAATAATAATAGTGATAAATAAAACAATAAATAGTTTAATAAATAGAATAATACTTATTAAAGACCTTTGTCAGGTGTCTTGCTAAGGGTACAACAGGAATTATTTATTAGGTACTATATCCCTACAACTTTGTGAGGCTAAAGTGACTTTTTCAAGGTTATACAGCCAAGAAGAGGACTGGAAGTCAGAACCCATGTCCAGGCTCCCCCTTTGGATGTACGTTCTTTAAATAGCATTATTTTTACAACTTAGGGTAAATAGAGGACCATTAAAACTAACAGAGGAGAGATGGTTAGAAACAGAAGAGACAAAAGATTTTTATAGCATTAGCCAATGACAAGCAACTTCCTAAGGGGATGTGTGCTTTTAGGAAGCCTGCTATTGGCTGTGCTTTAGTCCTAACCCGGGGCGGGGGGAGGAAATCAGCATTTAAAGGAAATGTCATCCTCTATCAATAAGGGCCAGGACATACTTCTGTACAAAGGTACGTACCTTAGTAAGTATAACTGTTAGAACAGGGGTGATCCTCAGGTCACTCTTCATGTCCCTAGGATGTAATCAGCTGAGTGAAGGGGTCTAACCGCCAGATTTATCCAGATTAGAGGGGTCTGTCTCTAGGGGCTCCTGCATTACAGGGCACTCCCTGGGAAGTGAGGAGGTCTAAACCTGAGCTTCGCCCAGCCTTTCCTATACTGTGGAAGCAGCTGGTGCTTAACTCCTCATTTTCCATCTTGGCACTGTGCTGGGCAGCGCTGTGTAGACCCCACCCACTCACCTGCTTTACTCGGGGTCAGCGGCAGGGCTGGGCCAGCCGTGTGCTTCTTCCCCCCGGGGAGCTGAGGGGAACATGGGGTAACAGGCCTGGCGGAAGTCTGGTCTCATCTGCAGAGAGGTGGGAAATGGTCTGCTTGGAGCCTTACTCACCTAGGGCCGTTGGTCCCCCCAGGTCTGTGCCAACCTGGTGAATATTCTGCGGATGGCTTTGCACCTTGCCAGCTCTGCGCCCTGGGCACATTCCAGCCGGAAGCGGGCCGTACTTCCTGCTTCCCTTGTGGAGGGGGCCTTCCCACCAGACATCTGGGAGCTACTTCCTTCCAGGATTGTGAAACCAGAGGTGAGCACATTGCAGCTTGCCTTTTGTTAGAACCGAGTTTCCTTTTTGAACACTATGAGGTTATGGTGGAATCCAACAAACCCAGCCCAGAGGTTCCCTGAATGGTGCCCCCAGAGTTAGGGGTTCAAGTCCCTACACAAGAGTGCCACTTTGGTCCCTGCCGCCAGGGTTGACCAGGGCTGGATGGAGAAGAGAGAAGTAGATTTTGCACACAGGCTTCCTAGGCTCTCTTCCTACTGTCCTACTCCAGCTCTGTCCTGGCCTAGAGCCCCCCAGACCACCCCCGTGGGTCCTATCCCTTCTCCAGGAGCTCATTCCTGGCGCTTCTCCCCAGGGAGCACAAGTCCAAGCCCAGCCTCAATCTGCAGCCCCCAGTGCTCACGACTGAGCTCCTGAGGACTTTAGCTGTGGTCCCTGGTGCTCTACTGCACAAACCATAAATGAAAACCACACATGCATCTTGTTCCTGTGTAGTTTCTCAGTGCTGTGAGTCCACCCACGCTGGCTAGTTTTGGGAATTAAGTGTTGATTGGCCACAGATTGGTAGGAAAACACCACTCCATTTGTGCGTCACAATTTATTTCACAAACTTTGAGTTATGTTTTTGTTATGATACAAATACAGTCTTCTTTTTCTTTCTCCTCTTCTTCTTTTCCTTTCCTGTGTTCTCCCTTGCCCCACAGTTCAGTGTTCTCCTGGACATTTCTACAACACCACCACTCATCGGTGTATCCGCTGCCCAGCGGGGACATACCAGCCTGAATTTGGAAAAAACAACTGTGTTTCCTGCCCGGGAAATACTACGACTGACTTTGATGGTTCCACAAACATAACCCAGTGTAAAAGTAGGTGCCACTCTAAGGCTTTTCACAGTCCTCATTAAGAGGGGGTGGGGGGTAGAGGCAGCCTGGGGCCAGGTTCCATCAGGGCGAGGAGGGTGCTGTTAGCCCCACCCACAGCTGTGCCCGTGGCGCTGGGTCTCCTCACCTTTCTTTGTATGTGGTGCTGGGGATCAAACCCAGGGCCTCAGACATACAAAACAGTCCTCTTCCACCAAGCTCCATCCCAGGTCCTACTGGCCGTTGGACATCCTGGGTCTCTCCCCGGGCTCACTCACACCTGTACCTGCCTTAAGGTCCTTGCTGGGACACAGTTCCAGTTCAGCCTTGATCAGCACCCATTGTGTGAGGACCTGCTGAGTCAGTCAGCGAGCCAGGCCGGCGGCGGCAGAGGAAGGAGCCATAGACTGTGAGGAAAGGCCTCTGCAGGGCTTGGAAGGTTATTGGAGAGGGTCGGGCAGGGTGGGAAGAGCTTCCTGCCAAGAGAGCAGCTTGAGGGAAGCTCAGACTCAGGAAAGAGAAAGGCGTCCGGGAAGAGAAGGCTGGGCCTGCGCACAGGAGAGGGGAGTACAGGAGGGAAGGCCTGAGTGGCCTTTATACCATACTAAGCAGTTCAACTTGTGTTTTCTAGCAATGGGAGAGCAACTCATTTAAGGACTTTAGCTGTGTGGGCCCTCTCCCTTAACCGTTATATAAAATTCTCCAGTTAAGGACAAAAGTAAACCTCAGTTAATTATTTTTAAGACAGAACTCCCAGGAAGCAAAGAAGCCTCCTCAGACTGGAGGAACCTGGAATTGAAGAATGCGGTGAATCATTTAAATTTTATGATTGGAAAGTTATCAAGTTTTCTCTCCATACCCATTAACAACATCCTTGTACACAGCCATCCGTACAGCTGGGCACGATAGCACAGGCCTGTAATCCCAGAACTCAGGAGTCTGAGGCAAGGAGGATCACCGTGATTTCGAGACCAGCCTAGGCTACCTAGTGAGTTCAAGGCCAGCCCGAACTACATAGCAAGACTCTGTCTACTAAAAAAATTAAAAAGCCAGTTCTCCCAAATACACGGTATGATGAGAGACTTACTACCTTTCATGAGCTCCTAATCTGCTGGTCGTTATACCTTGGGGAGATCCACAGCGTTAGGAAATTCTTCCGCATAACCAGATGACTATTTTGTCTTCTCACTCCCTGGCCCTTGGTAGCTCTTAGGGACCACCACATGGCTGTTCCTCTGATGGCCCTGCAGGCTCGAGGGCAGTTTATTTCTTTGCACTCTGAGGCTATCCCCTCCCCATCATGTTTTCCTGTTTATAGCTTCTACTAGTAATGATAACCCCCACTTATTATTAGAGAAGAAAAAATAATCCCATCAGCATCTCTTGCACAGGTGTACCTAGCAGTTTTAGACAATAAGCCTGAGGGAAAATGACTGTTTCCAAACTCCAAGGGCTGTGGGTGATATGTGTTGGATAAGTGAGGATTTGGTGAACAAAGACAGGGCTGATGTGGGGTGTGTGTGCGTGCGTGTGTGTGCATGTGTGTGCCCACACCTTTGGTGCTAGAGGTAAATATCCATTGTACACAGAAGTGGCATCTAATTGGAAATCTCATCTCCACTTAAAAGAAAATATGGTTTTTAACCTGAGAGAGAAAACAGCAAAAAAGATGTTTGTTTTATCTTCAGCAAAGTTTTTGGTCGAGTACTCTATGCAGCAGTGAGCTCTGTTCTTCCACCTTCGATGGACTTAGAAGTTCTGTCCTGGGTTCCCTTGACACTTGGACCTGTAAACAAAATATTGAAAACTAAATTTGTTCTTTTGCTTATTAACACCTGACCTTAGTGTCTCAGGTTCATGAGAAAATGGTGCCTCAGGAACTCGGGGGTGGACCCCTTATGGGGAGTTCATGTCTTTTGGCTCCCAAAGAGGCCCGGTCCAATACAGGAGAGCCTCGTTCCACGGGGAGGGTCATCTCCACCTCCACTTCTCAGTGGTGGTAAGGAGCTGAGGTTCTCAGCCAGCCAAGCCAGCAGTGCCATGACAGAGCGGTGACAGTGCTGCACCTTCATGACACATGGCATTTCCTCTTCCAGGCAGAAGATGTGGAGGGGAACTGGGTGATTTCACAGGATATATCGAATCCCCAAACTACCCAGGCAACTACCCAGCCAACACGGAGTGCACATGGACCATCAACCCACCCCCTAAGCGCCGCATCTTGATTGTGGTCCCTGAGATCTTCCTGCCCATAGAAGACGACTGTGGAGACTACCTGGTGATGCGGAAAACTTGTGCGTCTCTCCTCTGCTTTTCCCCCTTCCCAGGCCAGCTCAGAAGCCTGCCAACCTGCTCCTGAGCTTCCAATGTGAGGAAGTAGGCTTAGGCTGTCGCCACATATTAAAGCAGAGATGCAACATGAGCTTATAGAGTTGCCAAAAAATAAAGTTTAGACCAAAAGCACATTGAAGCCTCTTGCTGAGCCCTGGAGATAGGGGACCTGCAGGCCCGTCTTTCCGTCTGTGCCCTTGGCTTGTTGGGCCCCCTCCCCAGGGAACACAGTGAGCAGCAAGGCTCCTACAGTGCCCGCTGTAGACATCGCCTCCCTCTGGGGAGGGACTGCAGGTTTGGCAGCTGACCAAGGCCAAAGGCGTGGTCCAGCCAGGAGGGGCCCCTCCTTCTATCCTGATGTGGCCACGCGGCCCACACCGCTCAGTGGTGGTGCTGGCCACTTCTGCCATCTTGAGTGGAGTGTGCGAGCCTCCTGCTGTGCAGTCCCCTCGGCTGGGAAAGTGGGACAAGTGACAGTTGTTATCTCACAGGGTTATTAGGAGGACAAAACAGGTTCAGATTTGTAAAGCACATGGCAAATGGAGCCACTAAATAAATGTTTGCCACCCTTAGGAGTGGTTGAAATGTCCAGAGTCAGGTGAGGGTTTGAATCCTGACCTCACCACAGAATATTTGTGTGGCCCTGGCCAGGCCTTAATCTCCCTGTATAAGAGGTAAGCATTTTATACCAACTTGCTGTGGTTTTCAGATGATTAAATGAGATAAAGTCGTTAAAAAGCTGGGGTCTTAGGAAACACGGAGTAAGTGGGAGTGATTATTAGCAGAAAACAGTAACTCAGCTCTGGAAATGGGGACCCGCTCTCTGACCTCTGCTGTGGATCTGACGCCCTGGGTCACCCGTGTGGGGCGGGGCCGCAAGCACCAGCTGAATCCAGGACCTGACACTCACAGGACGCTGGGTGGGGCCCGCAGAGCTGCCTGGGTCACCCGCACTGTGATCTGAGTGTCTGAGGAGATGAGCGTTCACTGTCTGCCTGCTCGGGGCCGCTCTTGAGCCCCAGCCCCTCCAATTTCCCTTGGCAGCTTCCTCCAATTCTGTGACGACGTATGAAACCTGCCAGACCTACGAACGGCCCATCGCCTTCACCTCCAGGTCAAAGAAGCTGTGGATTCAGTTTAAGTCCAACGAAGGGAACAGCGCCAGAGGGTTCCAGGTCCCGTATGTGACGTATGACGGTAAGCACCACGCAGCGCCGGCGCCGGCGGTCCGCGGGGCTCTGCTCTGAACAGCGCGCTTCTGAGCAGCTGGCCAACTGCCGGCACGCACGCCCACTCAGAAAGGCAGGGTGACTGGAAAGGACATCGCTGACGCACGAGTGCCACATTTTAAACAGGCATTTGGGGACACTCACCAGGGATGAAAAGACATTTTAGAAAATAAAAGTGAGCATAGCTTGATGCATCACAGCAAGGGCATTGGAGTCAGACAGTCTGGCTGTCACCTCATAGGTGACTTTGTGTACATTACTTAACCTTCTCTAAGCTTCATTCTCTTTCTTTTCTGCCTCCAAAGCCTCAGGCATGCTGAGCACACATGCTACCACTGACCTACAGCTCCAGTAGAGCCCCATTTTGTTGCAGTTTAATGAGGATAATCATTAGACTTAATGTGAAGGTTTTTAAAGCATGTGGTACAATGCCTAGCACATAGTAATTGCTCAATAAATCCTAATTTGATTCTGGCTTTTATTATATAGAATTTTCCTGCCCAAAGGAAAAAGACCTGAGTTCATGTGCTTGATCTTACATAAAAAGGGTGGCCCTTCTGAGCCCTGGGGCTTTATCTAGCTCTGAGGGTTGGTTGACAAACATTTACCAGGAGCAGAAAATGAACTGAGGCTTGGCCTGGAGGACCTGATGTTCCATCTAGTGGGGAAGAGTCATCTGTTCATTCATGAATTTACTCATGTACCCAACAAATATTTAATGAGCCTCTACCGTACCAGGCTTAGGGTCAAATTCCGGAGACAACCTGGTTAGAGACAGGAACACAGAAATGTATATATTGTCATAGGTGCTTTAACAAGGCAGGGACAAAGCACTGTGTGAGCACAGAAGGGACAGTGGTTACTCTGCATGCATGGGCTTTCGGAAGGAACAGAACACCGTGGTAAGAGATCTGGGTCTTGAAAGAGCAGGTAGGTTTCGCCTGGGGAAGGGCAGAACTGGAGAGGTAGAACATTCAGGAAGAGTGAGTGACTTGGCCAGGGGACGAAGTCCTCAATATTAGTGGGGTCTGATGTGGCCAGGGGGCAGGGAGCTTGTGGCCTGGCAGTGAGAGGGACGGGGGGGGGTCTTGGCTGTGAAGGCCTTGAGCATCAAGCTCAGGAGGGCAGATGACGTAGGCTAAGTGACAAAATTAGATGTCTAGAAAGACAGCATTCTGTGTCTTTCCTAAACATACTTCACATAGTTTATTTCAAGCATGGGACAAAAGCTAGGAACTTTATCCCAAATACCCGAGACAAGGGCATTCAATATCTGACCCCTAGGACAGATCCAGAGCTTTTCCCATGGCTCTGCGGAGTGAGACAAAGAGCCCAGGTGTCTACCTGGAAGTGGCCACCCAGCAGTCTTTCCTCTCTAGACACGAGGCTCCAGAGTAAATGTCCCCAAAGCTCACACGCTTCAGTGCGGCTATTCTCATCTCTGCCTGTGTGACGCATGAAAATGTCTTGATTGTTTTTAATAAAAAAATTAACAGTTGTAGCTTGGGGGACATTATATGTAAGCTTGGTTGGTTCCTGAGAGGGTCTCGCATGTGTCACAGTTGAAAACTGCTACTTTGGCTCCCCAGGTCTTTACTTGAGTCTGTTTTTTAAAACAGATATTTCAAGTAAGTTTGACATCTGCTTTCAAATCCCAGAAATTACATTTTAAAGGTGGGCTCAGGCTGCTGCAGATAAGCCACCCAGCTGCTGGGGAAAAGTAAAAATTGCAGTCAGGGCTGACCAGTGCTGAGCATTGTTAAGTATTACTGAATGCTGAAGCAGCTTTTCCCACTTTCGTCAGTCCTGGGGTTGGAATTGAGGGCCATGTGCGTGCCAGGCAAGTGCTTTTCTACTGAGCCACACCCCAAATCTCCAGGTCTTTTTAATTTTATTTTGACGCAGGGTCTTGCAAAGTTGCCTGTACTAGCCTCAGCCTAGCCTCCTGCCTCAGCCTCCTGAGAAGCTGGGATTACTGGCAGGTACCCCTGTACCCAGTACCCAGCTTAAAGCATCTCTTAATGATATATTCCTCACAATCACCCCATGAGGTAGACACAGGTATTTCCTGATTTTATGCAACGGGCCACCCGGGTTTAGAAATGTTAAGCAACTCGCCCAAGGTCAGAGCATGACAAAGTGGCACAGCTGGGTTTGACCCAGGTCTTTGGGATGCAGGGCCTGGCTGTCAGCTCCAGTGCTTCATGGCTTCTCTAAGGATTGGAGCAAGGAGGGGACGGTAGCTCTCGGGAAGGCAGCAGTCTAGAAGCATCTGGAGTCCTGGCAAACGTCAGTCCGTTTGCAGTTACTCCGGCACGGCAGTCCACGTGCTGAAGGTGAACTCCCTCCTGGGAAGGAGCCAGGCCTCTGAGGTAGACCCTGCAGCAGAGCGATTCAAGGTGACAAGTAAATAAAATAAAAACGTGCACCCTTGTTCATATTTTATGTTCACTAAAATACAAGGATAAGGAAAAAGACGTCAGGATAATAGAATAGCAATGATATCAAACATGTATTCGTCACTATGAATATTACAGCATTAATTTCCACTGGCCATCTCTGAGAGAAACTTTAACAGCTGCTTCCACACAGTTTCAATGATCGCATAGTTTGTGCAGCCTCGTAGGCACGCTATGCTTACAGAAAGGCATTTTTAATGTGTCTGGAGTTTGGAAAAGACTGTGCTTTGCATGTGCTTGACTTGAATTATGAGACTGTGCAGGCGCGGGGCTCGCACGTGGAAGATCACTGCATGCACCGCATTGATAATGTGTGTCAGGACAGAACACCCCTGAGAAACTCTGCAGAGTCCGCTTCCTCTCTGGCCAATCAAATTCTCCATCCCCAGCCCCAGCCACTTAGAGAAGAGAGGAGGCTTCCTTGATGGGGAGAAGCCCGACTGCCTTACAGAGCCTAGCGCAAGGACAGAGACAGGGCAGGGCGGAAAGGACTGGCAAAGCTGTCTGGTTGGCTGTTCTTTGGAGCAGAGAAGTGGGATGCAAGCTGGGCGGGAGAAATGAAGTCGAGGGAGGGATTTTTAAAATCAGAGACACAAGGGCATGTTTGCATGCTGATGGGAAAGACCAGAGGAGAAAAAAATGATCACATCAGAAAGCACAGAAGTATTGGCCTGATTGCCCTTGATTTGGTGAGGGAAGACAAGTCTGGGGTGCCAAGGGCAGGGCTAAGCATCTCCCGATGCTCATTTGAGGGAAGGGGACAGAGAGACAGGTGACGCAGTGGTGCATGGAGGTGTTGGGTGTCCAGGCTTCTCGCCGATGGCCTCAGGATCAGAATGGCCAGTGCTGAGAGCAGCCATGTCTCAGAACCATATGAAAATCTGAAGAGCAAGCTTAGAAATACTAAACCCTAAGGCTGCAAAATATGTCCTTCATTCCAACAGAAGATTACCAGGAACTCATTGAAGACATAGTTCGAGATGGCAGGCTCTATGCATCTGAGAACCACCAGGAAATACTGAAGGTGAGTCCTTGCCCGAGGGATGCGGTGGATTCCAGAGCTCCCCAACACCCTGGGAGAAGGTCCTGATGCCCCATCCCACCACCTTGCCGACCCAAACCAGCCCCGGGCCAATGTCAGACATTCTCCAGTCTTATTTCTTTCTTTTAAAAGGGGTTTCTGTCTTTTGTGTTTTCAAGTGAAATTCATTTGGAAATTTGTAGAAAGACAAGGCTGAGGGAGCTTGCTTATAAATCTAAGCCAGTGGCATATGTTTTCACATTAATTCCAAATAGGAGAGGACCTATGGCCCCTTATTCTGTAAGCCACCAAATTTTAGACACATAATTAGCAACAAATGATTACCGTATTGCTAACCCTATAAATATTCCCCAAATTCCTGTGTTGCATCTCATTTGGTTAAGGGAAAACAATTTTTTTACATATTAAGTTTTCGTCTAAAAAGTAATGCAAATGATCTTGGAGGCTGAGGCAGGAGGATTGCAAGGTTGATCCCAGCCTGGGTGACTTAGCAACACAGTGAAACCCTGTCTCAGAAAGAAAAAGTAGCTCAGTATGAAGGTCCTAGGTTCACTCCCCCAGAAAAATAATGCATACTTATTACAGATAATTGGGAAAAATGAAAACTGGAAAGGAGATAAAAATCAGAGGAAACAATTTTCACAGAGTTGTTTAGCCAATCAACCTACTGCCTAATACTGGGTCATTATAGTTCCACTGGCAAAATATCAGAATGGTTAAATATTTTGGCCTGGTAACAAGAATTCTGTTCTCTTTAGGATAAGAAACTGATCAAGGCTCTGTTTGATGTCCTGGCCCACCCCCAGAACTACTTCAAGTACACAGCCCAGGAGTCCCGAGAGATGTTTCCAAGATCCTTCATTCGGTTGCTACGCTCCAAAGTGTCCAGGTTTTTGAGGCCTTACAAATAAATGACTCTGCCCACGTGCCACTCAGGGCAGATGTTCTGCTGTGGGCCTGGTGGGACTGAGCTGTCTGCCTTCTGCATGCCAGTGTGCAGCACGTCGCTGTCTCCAGTATGGGTGACTCGTTAGAGTTCAATTTTTATAGATAATACAGCTATTTTGGTAAACTGAACTTGGTTTTTCTTTCCCACCATTATGGAGTGGACTGAGCCAGCTTCTCATTGCTGAGGGCAGATTTGGAAGCAGGGAGGGCTGCTGAACTGGACTTCAGACAGCGCAGGTGAGACTCACCTGTCCTTCTGGCTTCCCGCTCCTCTTCCAGGACTCCGTGGCGGAGAGGAGGCCACAGAAGGAGCTGCTTTGTCTGAAGCTTCAGCTTCTTCCAGCCATGCACAGGCTCTGACTGGGCAGGACAGGCTAGGAGGGATGCAGGGAGCCCTGCAGGGCCACCCATCTACACTGGGACCTGGCGGGCCTTCCCCAGACTGTGTGGTATGTGGGATCCCAGAAGTTTGCATTCTAAAGAGCCATCATTTTTTTAAAAATACTGAAAACAGAAAGAATACAATAAAAACCTAGGCTTTTCTGCCGATGTGAGAGTGCACCTGCTGCCTGCCTTCCTAGCTGCCAGTGGCACCCTGCAGCCAAGGCACAGAGCTGGTGTTTGATCCTTCAGACACTGCTCTGCATTTGGGCATGGAGCTTGGGTTGGACATGACCTCAAGGGGCCTGAGATTCAGCCACCATCACAAGGAGATTTCACCAACCCCAAGTCAGTACTGCCAGGTGCCCTGTTTCTGCCAGGGGCTCCACACCAAAGGGGTCCGAGGTCCATCCAGATGATGCCAGCTGGTCTCTGTGCCTTCCTCCCCCACACTCTAAGGGCAGAGTGGTCTCTGCTCCGAGGACTGGCTGAGGAAGTGGCCGTGACCCTGGCTGAAGCAGCTGTGTACTGGCCTCCCCGTGCCACTTTACTTTGGTTAGCACAGGGTACCTCACAGTTTCTCCCACAGGAACTGGAGTTTCCAATAGTATTGAGTTTTCCAACATGCAAATCCCTGGGCAAAATCTTATCACGGTGGATTGAAAAAGATTCCTATCACCAAGCTGCCCTTTCCCTCAGGGAAGGACTGACCACACAGCCAAGGTGTCTTGTGATTTCCGTGTCAATTCACACAATCAATTCTACACCAAAGTACTAAAAAAAAAAAAAAAAAAAAAAAAAAAAAAAATAAAAAAAAATTTTTTAAAATTTTTTTAAAACTCATTTAATAACATCCCTTTTTCTTTAAAGTCCCATTTAGACTTTCCTCCTTTATTTGGAATGGTCCTAAATACCCATTTTTGGATCTCTCTTCAAGAGTTAAGTGTCTCCATGAAAAAATAAATCACAGAAACAAGCATTTGGAATTTGTTATTGCTGGAACTTGCCTACTGCGTCTAACTGCTAGGGGAAAACTCAGATGTAATAACTCAAATTAGTGACTGGACTGACGTAGATGGGACTGGAGGGCTGAGCCATCCCATCTCGTCCAGGCACGTTCGTGACTCTGTGAAGGCACTGCCGATTGCACACAAAGGCAGTACAGGGCCAGGGTACAGGGTACAGGGCCAGAAGGAGGCTGCACAGACCTGGTCACTGTGGCACCTTCTGCAAGAGCAGCCCTCACCCAGAGCTGTGCTCCCCACAAGCCTAAGCCCCTAAAGTCCTCCTGAAGCTTCATTTTCAGAGTTGTCAGCCACCTTTAGAGTCTCTGTGGCCCTGCTGGAACAGTGACAGGGCCACTGTGGTTAGCTGCTCCCTCAGTCAATAGTTACCCAGCATGCTCTGTGCCAGGCCCTGTTTAGGGCCTAGGGTCCCTGCCTTCACAGAGCTCGAATTTTGGAAGGAAGACACTTAACTAAATCAAGACAAAAGGACCAGCTGGTGCGAGTGCTAAGTTGAAAAGTAAAACAGGTTAATGTAATAGAAGACTGCACAGCTACTTTAGACTGCAGGTGGCCTCCATGCAGAAATGATATTTTGACTGAAAATTACACAGCAAAAAGGAAGCAGCCCATGAAATTCAGGGGAAGAACGTTCTGATAGAAAACCAAGCAAGATACTGGCAGGAACAAGCCTGCGTGTGCTTCGCAGTCGGTGAGAAGGTGGGTGGTACCAGGCGAGGCCAGTACCATCAGCCCTGTGCAATCCTCTGACCTCACCTGATTCCAGAAGGAGGGGTTTGGGTCCATTTCTAGGTACTCTGGGAAGCTGTGAATGGAACTCAGAGAAGAGTGAGGTGATCTGGTTTGTGTTTTGAAACGAAGTGCTGACTCCTGTTTGAGTGGATTTTAGGAAGCATAGAGAACTGGGAACTGGCTGCCGCCACAGACCAGCACCTGCGCTGGGGAAGGTGAGGGTCTGCAGGGGGTGGAGGCAGTGGAGGTGAGAGAAGTTGGTTCTGGACATGTTTGTGTCTGAGCCAACAGAATTTGCTGAGGAGGACTGGATGGAGGAGCGAGGAAAAGAGGGCAGTCGGAGATGATTCCTAGTTGCTTGAGCAACTGGTAGATGGAGCAGAAGCAGGTTTGGGACGTGTCAGTTTTAGAACATGTCCTCAAATTCTTTGACGTTCTTTCCAAAGAAAGTTGGCGGCTAAGGGCCTCCTCTTAAACCTGGGCTGAGATGTCTGGATTGACAGAATGTGACAGCATTAATGCTTTGCCAGTTTCTGGGCCCATGACCCGAGACACTAGTAGTTTCGGCTTCATCACACTTGGGACTCAGTCACCAGGCATTGAGGAAGCCACAGTGGCCTGGGGAGAGGTGTTGTTGTCCATGAGCACGTTCATGGAACAAGGTTTGGGAGCTTGGACTGGGAGGGCAAGGCATGGACTCACCAGGTAGACTCTGGGTAGCTTTCTGGAACACTTCCCCTTTACTCAGGAAATGCACAGGCTTATAGAGCTACAACCATGGGGGCGGAGCATGAGAGGAACATTTAACATTTGGCGATCTTATTGGCCAGACATGGCGGAGTGATTTTTCTTGGGTGAAGGGAAAGAGTCATGGACTAGGGGCGGAGGTGTAGCCTGTTGAACCCAGCATCTACGCACTTAGGAGATTCAGCTCAGCCTTAGCAAGGTCTCCGAGTCAGCTCAGGAGACAGGAGTGCGGTGCCCCTAGCCCAGCCAGGCTTGAACTTCTCCCACAGAGAGGAACCTCATCCCCACCTCACAGGCCAGCCTCAGTGTCTACAGGAAAACGGTAAAACTGTGCCCCTGTGTGCATGAGCCATCTTGGAAAAGATTCTCCAGCCCCAAGTTGAGCTGTCCCAGCTGATGCTTCATGGAGTGGGCCCTGTGGAGCCACAACAAAGTCATGGATTTATGAGCAAAACTAAGAATACTGCCAGACATGGTACCACATGCCTTAATCCCAGCACTCAGGAGGCTGAGGCAGGAGGATCATCATGAGTTTGAGGCCAGCCTGAAATATTGAGACCCTGTCTCAAGAAACCAAACCAAACAAACAATACTGAGGCAATATAGAAAAAATAAACATAGGTAGCAAGGAAACAAGAAAAATCATACTGTACTTTTGAGAAAACCTGCAGCATCAAGACACAAAAATTGCCCAAGTTTACAATGCCCTTTTCCCTTCCAGGAAACTCATTAAAAAAGAATTTCTAAAGGTCTTAAGGGTACATGAACCCGTACATGGTGCCCATGCTTTACACCTGTACACTGCCCTTCCTCCCACACGCTCCACCCTGGGGTGGCGGCATTATCGAGCAGGCAGCAGGTCTCAGCTTCAAACACGTGAAAATGATTTCCGTTCCCCACAGCCCATCAGACGGGGAGCCTGACAGATGGACGTCCTAGATCAGCCATCTCGAGATGAGCCCAAGATCGCAGGAATCCATCAGCTCCAGACCACAGCCCGCCTCTCTTGGGAACCAACGCTCGACTCCCTCTGTGTACTTTTCCAATTCTGCCTAGTAGATCCCTCATGCCTCTCCTGGTGCACCTTGAAAAGCCCATTTCTGAGGTGGAAATCAGCAAACCTGCCCTGTGGGTGGGGAAAGATGAGCCCAAGATCGCAGGAATCTATCAGCTCCAGACCACAGCCCGCCTCTCTTGGGAACCAATGCTCGACTCCCTCTGTGTACTTTTCCAATTCTGCCTAGTAGATCCCTCATGCCTCTCCCTGGTGCACCTTGAAAAGCCCATTTCTGAGGTGGAAATCAGCAAACCTGCCCTGTGGGTGGGGTGAGTTGAGGTCCCCAGCTCCTCTTTGGGGGTCCTCCACAATATGATAGCTTTAAGTTACTAGATTTGGGGATTTTTAATTTTTTATTATTGTTGGTACCTGGGATCGAACTCAGGACCTTGCACTTGCAAGGCAGGTGGTGGACCACTGAGCTAAATCCCTGGCCCTGGGGATGATTTCTCATACAGCAATAGGACAGTGGAAAGGGAGAGGAGATCAAAAATTCTATTTTGGCCAGTCCGGGTTCAAGGTAGCTATTAGCCATTCATGTGGAGAGTTCAAACAGGCAAAGGTCAGGACTGGAATCCAAGTTTTAATGTCATACAATAAAGATAGGAACTTTTCCTAGGTGAAGGCTACCTGGGAAATACACAGTGGTCCTCTCCCCCTGTACGCCTCAGGTCAACTGTGGTCTCAAAATATTTAATGCAAATTTTCAGGAAAAATTCATTAAGTTTTAAATAAGTTTTACTATAGTATATTGTTCTAATTGTTCTATGTTTGTCTTGTTTTGTTTTGGTACAGAAGATCGAACTCGGAAACTTGCGCTTGAGAGGCAGGCGGCGGCACCACTGAGCTAAATCCCCGGCCCCTTGTTCTATTTTATTATTAGTTGTTGCTAATCTCTTACTGCCCCTGATTTATATTTTTTCCAGTTTTATTCTTTATTAGTACATTTTTGCATTACGCGATTACACCCCTTGTAGGGACGTGGTACACGGCACACAGCCAACGCCTCAGTTCTTTCATCCCCTTTCCCTCTCCTTCCTCTCCTCTCCCTCCATCCCTTGATCCATTTCATATTTGAAAAAGCTCTATCTGCTTACTTCCTATTATCTGTCTTTTATTTTGCTCTTTGTATTCTGGGTTTGTTACATAAGGAAAACAACGTGATACGTAAGCTCATGTGTCTGACTTATTTTACTTAACATTGTGGTCTCCAGGTGCATCCATTTTCCTACAGATGACTCAAATGGACCCTTCTTTACGGCAGAGTAGTCCTCCCTTGTGTTTACCACATTTTCTTTATCCATTCATCTGTCGATGGGCATGTAAGACACATCCAAGATCTAGCTGTTGTGAATGGCGCTGCTATAAACACGGGTATGCATGTGTCACTGTCATACGATGTCTTTAACTATTTCAAGAAGGTACCATTTTAGGACCAGGGATTTACATTTAGCTCAGTGGTGCCACCGCCTGCCTCATGAGCACAAGATCCTGATTTCAGTCCCCAGTACCAAAAAAAACAAAAACATTTAAAATTTTCATTAGTACGTGTTTGCAGTACATAATGGCTACATTCATTGTGGGGAGCTGGTGCATGTCCATAACACATAAAATGTCCTGTTCCCCTTCCCTCCCTCCGATCTCCATCTCTTGGTCCTCTTCCCATTTGCAAAATTGTGCCTTATACAGAAAACTTTACCGTAGGTCTGTGTGTACAGGAAAAAGCAGTGCACATGGGGCTCAGGACTGCATGTGGTCCCTGGCACCCACGGACCATGTGGGAATGCACCCCCACGAGAATGGGAATTATTGTGGGCGGATGAAGTAGACCCCGGAGCTCCAAATCCTGGGATCCCCGGGTGGGTGGCACAGAGACCAGGACTTGGAGAAGCTGCTTATCAAGTGAACAAGAAGAGGCCAGAGCTGAGCCCCCGCCCTTCCTCCAAGAAGCTAATTCTGCGGGAGAACTCCGGCAGGGGTGGAATGTCCTCCCTCCAGCTGTGGTACTGGTTTTCAGCCACTTACTGAAGTGCTGCATCTATGGATTTAGCAAGTTCCCCTTGAGTCTCCGACACTAATGAAAGAGTTTGCTTTTTCACACCAACAGATGATTATCTTCACTTTGGAAAATTGCTTCCTCTGAATCATCCTCTGAGCTGTTAAGTGCGTAGTCTGTAGGCACTCTCTGGATTTAGATTTGCAGGTGATTTTACAATGTCAAGTGGTAACC